CAACCAAGCCTGACACTCTACACTATGTAAGTAAAGCCCTGCATGCTCCATACTGACTTACACAGAGATATGCTGGCTTATGTGTTTAAGGGGCGTGGTGCCTCATTATGCTGCTGACCGGGGGCATCAAGTGACACTTCAAACCAAGAATAAAACATCAACTGTCATCAGCACTCTATTCAAGTAAAAGGAAATCAGTCTGTGACAAACGTTTCTGTTCAAGCGACTTTTGTCAGAGTCCCTTTACGCATATGTGATGTTAGCACAATGTTGTCATCTGTGGTATGACAAAACTTCTTCCCGAGGGCAGTGGCCGGAATACCGGGGCAAGGTTTTGAATGTGACAGGTGATAGCCAGTTTCAGGTATCTGCTTTGGGCAAACACTGAGTTGTGTATCTAAGGTGGGAGTCTTCTGGGATGAAAGAGCCTTTCTTCTGGGGTGAAGACGTACGTATGATATTCTGGTTCTCAAGATACACAATTGTAACATATCCCATCCTCTTGAGAAGTTGGAGATAACAACAGTTTTACCACCATGAAAGTCGTTTCTTTTTTCTTACCATTGTCTGCCTATCTACCAATGGTATTCTTTATATACCATACAACAGTTTGAGAAGTAGCAAAAATGACTTTCAGGTGGTTTAAGATATTTTATGCTTTACGTGTACATGATGCTTGTGCAGATGTCATCATTTAGTTCTCTTCTGCTAAAGGCACACTGTTTTTGTTTTTTTTTCTATCGTAGGCTGGTTCTAGCTATCTATTGGTGGTACGAAAAATAAATGTACTCACGGAGCTTGTTTTGGGGCTACCGGTATTTCAAATGCCTCAGGTATGAAAAGATGACGAAAATGTGATAAGAAATAGCAGTAACTGTCAACAGCACTTATGGCTTTAACTTTTTATACACACTGAATAGTACCGAGATCTACGTGACCAAGCCCCTTCAGGACAATTAATAAGCACTTAGCACATTAATTGTCCTGAGACTTCTCTCGAGACTGTCAATCATCAAAACTAGTTTTACAGGTCCAACCTAACTGCACAGGTTACAGAATACGAATAAAATCATTCTTACAAAAAACGCCACTTTTTTTATCCTGGTCATGCTCTAAAAATCATTTTATTATGTCAGAAATGACAGTTTGAAAAAATCTGTAGAGGCTGAAGGAAAAAGCACTGCAAAGAGGTTACTGTGATCATACAGTGAAGATGTTCAAATTAGGTGCTTCCATACACTACTACATACCCGCGGATAGGGCAGACCGGTGGGCGTGTTCTCAAACGCGGGCAGTAGCCTTGTCCCGAGGTCGTGTGCGAGCTCCAGCAGGTCGTTCTCGTAGCCGTCAGGCTGCACGTCGCCGAAGGGCTGCAGGGGGTCGGTGATAATGAGGTGGGCCGACAGGAGCGCGCCCAACACCCTGGGGAGATAATCCACAACAATGAGCCAGTGTTCTGCACAAGTCAGACAACCTACCCAACAGTGTTCCGGCCAGCATGAATTTTTTTTTCCGTCATCTCAGTTGTGTTTGACGTTAAATCACATCAAGTGCAAAAAGAGGGTTTCAGGGCATCATCCCCAAAGAACATTCTACGTTCTTGACCCTTTTCCGAAGTGCTATTTTCCGTATTTTGAGGGGTAAATTTTGCTGGTAGACTAAGCTTAGTCTCTCTTTTCACATCTTTACACATCAATTTTTGTCCGTCAAAGATGACAAATTGGGCAAAATTTTTGTTGTCAGAAGTGGTAAAAGAAAGACAGATTGCTGGCCAGAACACTGCTGCCAAATGGTTCTTTCTACCTGCATGGACTCAGTAAAAAGGACCATTTGTCACCACCAGTTCCCCATCAGTTCAAGTACTGTACATTACTGCTGACTGGTGAATCTCAAGATCTCTATCTTGTCATTAACAGAAAAAATGTTGAATTTTATGTCTGCAGTGATGGGAGATGTTTCTCCCAGTGGAAAGCCTTCCAGTACCTCCAGCAGTGTGGACTATTTACCTAGTCTAAAAAAACCATTACAGCATTACGGATGTGATAACAGATACCTCCACCTGTAGGCATGGGCACAAGTAAACATCACTGTCAGACAAAAACTTCAACCACCTGTCTGAAGCACTGAGACGTGTTCATGAACACAATGAATCTCTTTCCTCTATTTTCACAAATGCATCCAATTTTCCCATTATCTCCATTCATGCACAGCAAACTTTGGAGCCCAGTAAAGAAAAGTTAAACAAGCTACCAGTACGAGATAGTGTGGACAAGATAACTTCCCAGGGCATCACTACAACTGAGGTATCTGCCCTTCTCCTGAAGGATGACACTTTTACGACTTCCGCTCAACCTGGGCAGGTAAGGCGGTTCAAAAGAGGCCAGCACAAACAATGGGAGGAATGCTAATCTATGTGCCATAAGGATACCTAGCAAGCCCTGGTGCAACTCAAACATATACCATGTATAACTGCACAAACTCAATACCACGCGCAGCTGCTGAGACAACATGTATCTAACACCTTACACACCTCTTCTAGTCCAAATGCAGGCAGATTTCTAAACACCTTCTTGGAAGGGTAAACCAACTTACCAAATGCCCATAAATTACAACACAACCCAGCCACAAATCAAGACTTACAAATACATCAAACTGAGTAAAAACATGACAGGTTAAGCTATAGACGCCTGCCTAGGTTGGTTATACCTGGTCAGTGGTAAGGTTTATTACACGTGAAGCCCACACACCTGTGATCCTGCCCTGTCCTGTAGCACGCTGAAGTGAGGTGCCCAGCCTACCTGTCCCAGTACTAATCCCTGCCACATTTGCATATAATTGTGGCCAGGGGGCCACACGTGGGACAACAGGGGCATCCACTCACATGGAATACCTGTACAGCCTGCTCTGTGTCTCTCAACCTTGGAACTACACTTGTGTAGCTCACTTCTACCAGTAACAAAAAAGAATCATCAGCTGGATAGTTATTACAACTTCCTCATCAAAATTACAACTTCTGCTTATGGTCTTAACCCCTGGACAAAAGGAGACTTTACATTCCTATTGGGAACACTTGGGAGAGATTACCTGTAAATCACCCCAGGGCTCGAAATGCTTTTTTCTGTAGACAAGCACTGGTGCAGGTAAAGATTGAAAATTACCTGCACCAGACAAGTTTTACCTGCACAACTCAGAATTTATGAACATGGATCACACTTAAAACTGTACAGAGATATCGGTATTTCTTTTAAACTTCATATGTGGTAAGTTGTGGTAACAGTCAATGAAGCAAATACAAATCCACATACACCTAGGTGTATACATCTATACTCATTGTCATTTTTTTAATTGTTGTTGTTGTGTGTATTTCTATTTGTATGTTTTCCTTTTATATGGGCCGTGGATGCCTGAAATAAAATACATGGACCAGTGCTGGTTAGGTGCAGATATAAGTACTTGCACAGCTCCAGTTTTACCTGCACAGGCAGCCGGTATTTCGAGCCCTGCACCTGCATTCTTATCAGAGTTATGTGGGACCTTAAACAAAGGCGCTGCCCTATGGCCCCAGGTGAGGAGGGAGAAAATTTACTTAAGTGGATAAACTATCCCAATAACAGGGCCACTCCCCTCCCCTGATCAACCAATCACACAGATTACTTACTATAACAACATACTGGCTTTATATGCCCAAGAAAGTAACATCTTTATAATATGCAGTTTGGAGAAAGGCTTTCTATAGTGTAATTCTCTGAGAACATAGGGGGCAGACACAAACCAAATGTTTTTTGGATTGCAGATAAACAATTTTGTAGTTCAGCCTCAAGGTAGAACGTTCTTTGGGAGACATGAAGTCTGGTCAGTTTGGCCTTCATTGTTTAAGTAAAGTGCAACCCATAAATCTCTGTAACCAGCAAGGTAGAAACATGACGTTCGAGGTTACAAGGCTACAACAGCAACAACATCATCTTCAAAAAGAGTCCCAGGGATTTCGATTCTCCATCATTCTTAAAAGAAATGTTGCCACCAATTAGGACTCATTGTTAAGCTTACGAATGTTTGTGTGATTCCTCTATATTTAAAAGATTAATTCCATTCCGTCTCCAGTGACCACTGGATTACAGCAAGCCGCCTCCTCTGTGTTTGTTTAATGAAACAGTGTAATTGTAGCCACCAAATGTGCATTCTCCCCACAGCACAACGTTTCATGTTGAGGTGCTACTAAAGGTTGATTGGGCAGAAATGGACACTTAAAATGAACTGTTAAACAATGTAGAACATTACAAATGCCCACCTTGCCGTATTCTGCCTTTTATCTGGTCTTTTATCAAGCCTTAACTTGAATCTTTAAATGTATCAATAAAAAATACATCCATAACACTTAGTAAACTGAAAAAAAATCGAAACAATGATTCAAAAGTTCAAGCCTGTATTATACTAGTTTACGTTGAATGTTTATAAATTATATATGTAATACCTTTTTATGTCATAGATGGGCTGCAATAATGTTCAATACAGTTGTTCCGGCCCGGGTAATAACTGACCATATCACACAGGGTTTTGACGGTTATCACACAGGCTTTAAAAAATTTCATAGAATACTTCCAGTGCATTGCACATCTGCCACCTGCACCATTTTCAAAATTTGAAGACCATATTTGGACATGATGTTACAATCTTTTGGTAAGGGATGACTTTTGGCACATTCCGCAATGAAATGTGTTTTCTGGGGTGGGTATAACATAGATAGAATACTACACGGTGTATTCTGTATCACCCTCAGTCCCAGTCCTACTCCATGACAAGGTCAAAGGAACCATGTCTGCATGATGTCGTACACGTGAGGTCGACTTCTTGTCAAATCGGATCTACTAACTATTCAAGTGTGTAAAGAGTAAGGCCACAACTGAAAGATCACATACAACTGATTTGGTGCATCATTCATCATTGTTGTCAACATATTCAAGAAAATATAATTAAAGGCATCCGATGCAATTTTCAGGGCAGCAAAACAAAAAATTCTGGATCATATATATATACTGCCATATTTTTTGATACCACCGACAAATAGCTAGAAGATCAGCTTATAATATGATGCGAAACAAGCAACTGTTTCTTCCAGCAACATTTTAGTCTCACAGATATCAGTAGAAAATTTACTTTAAAAATCCAGTTATACTGCTACTTCTCTGGGTGCCTTTAATTACAGGGAAAAACAAGTTTTGAAAGGTATACGGATGAAGCTAACAACATATTCTTCGTACATTGTACTAAGTACATTGTACAAGACTTTTGTAGTAATTCAGTGAATACGAAGTTAGTAACATGACAAATCAGCTTATCAATTTCTAATTGCAATGTGCAAGAGTGCGTTGGCACATTACAGGTGTGACAATTCTTCTTTTAGGCAAGAGTTGATTGAATTTAAGAATGAAATTTGCTTGACTGGAAATACCTTTCATATCTGACTATTATTTCAGTCACTGGCTGGCTTTCTCAATCTAATGGTGCACAATGCATTTGTCCTTGAGCACATCTTCGCTTGTCCCAGATCCAGAGAGTCCATTTTAAGGGTTCAGCTAGTATCAACTTTGCTTCAGGATTTCTGGTATTTGGCTCCAAAGGTAAACATATCTCCCTGGAATTTAGGGTAACGACTCCCTTCCTTCACCATCCAGGAGTAGGAAACAACCCATGCTACCCAGTGGTAACGACCTGTAATTGCAGTGCTTAGTGCAGCGCCCATAAATATGATATCGACATATGCGACACGGATAAGCCATCTGGTTGCAAACTGCGGGGAATTTACGACAGTTTAAAATGGCATAGCGTGCCCTCCGTGTGTCCCTGGAGATGTTACTCTGGGTCTGGCTGTCACTTTTGGTGTTTCCACTCAGTATAACACAGTGTGTAGGTGGATGGAGGAGCAGTTTTTCATGGGGCCTGTGCAATGTAAAACTGATGGTATGACTTTATTTGATGACCATGCAAGGTTTTTTCAGCAAAGATACATAGGTTCATCACAATGATAAGGGGAAAAAGTGCACTAGGAATGCTGCAAAACTCTTATTCGTAGTACAGTCGTCTATGCAGGCTTTTGTAAGGACTCTGAAGGGCTTGTCATATAATAACTTTCAGAGACGTGTAACATGACAAGTGTTCTACCCATCCTAAAACACTATTTTCTGCATTTTGAGGGACAAATTTGGCTTAGTTTAATGACATCTCTTTCTATATCTTTAGAAACTGATTTTTAAATCGGGAAAATTTGTCCGTCATGAGCAGCAAAATTCGGTTCAAATGACAGAAAGATGGATGCTGGCTAGGACACCCGACAGCAAATACCGATGTTCTCATCAAAACCACCAAAAATGAAGAAAAATTGTTAACTGTGGCATTGTACATTTATTTCTGTCAGTAACTGCCAGTATTAATATTATTAAAGAAAGGGAAAAAAATACCGGGAAGACGGATTGGAAAAATGCATGAGTCACATCATGTGGCATGCAGAGGTCATGACCTTTAGAACAGGTAGCATATTGGCATCCACCTGTCCAGATGGCAGCATATCTATAGCTTATTGTCAATCCAGCTGACAGGTCTCATGTATTATTCACACTGACACAGTAACTAGTTAACTGTACCCAGCACGGAAGGGACAAAATTATGGTGTCAGCACTCGCCCCGTTAGGCACATTGTACGATTGGCTAGAATCCATAATCACAGGCGTCACTTCCAAATAAAAAAATTCACACGTCGTCAGCATGTATAGAGCTCCATGGTTCAGGTTTATGCAGTATAACGAAATTCCAATACATGCTATCAACTCAAGCTTCCCGTTTCAATCTCCGCTTCAACCTGTTTGAACAATATGTCATACTATTTATTTCAGAGTGCGCAATGTTGTCTGGTAAAGTATAGTATTATATACGAGATCCATGAGCAGAGATTTAGCCTTCAGGCTTCAGCTTCTTTCTGACATCATTTCTGACATGTTTTTAGGCATTTTCATCAGCCTTCTGTCTGTACTGGTATCTTTTTTTACTCCAGCCGGGTGGCAAAAGGATACTGCCTTACCAATAATTCGTCAATATTGCCAATTTCATACTGTCTTGTCGCCATCAAAACATCTGCTTGGAGATCAATCATCATACACATTAAAGTATTGCTTTAATACTACAGCAGTGTAAGCATGACTTCAAGTTGTACAACTCTCACTCACTTGTACAACTGCACACACACAACTCCCACTAGGCTATACTTGAGATTATAAAGATACAAACTGACACTGCAAATGGCTGAAATCTGTGTCAGCGGAAGTCAGGCTTGTCAGCAGTTCTCAGAGCCAGTAGCAGGTGCAACGGTGTGATGAAAGAAGGCTCCATACTAATCATAGTCACTTCAGTTTTCAATGTTAAATGCCCCAGTGCAGGTATGCAGAAAAAAGTATTTTGAGCCCTGCAAGTGTTGGTACTTGATGCACAAGTGAACAACACGACTTCAGCAGTGAACTGGTCCCTTTTTCTATTAACATCATATCATTAACAGGTACACATATTCCTTTCAAACTGGCATATTTGAAATGTCAAATAGCTAACACACGTAATGATCGTGAATGTACTGTAGTGTCTTATGTTATCATCTAATGCTAATAGCCTGTAGCAGTGCGACAAAACAGACACAGCATTTTCAGCAGCTGGAATGAAAGAGTCTTGATAATCCTACCCCACACACACGGAACATTACAACCTCACAAATGTCACTGCAATAAATAAGATTTCATGTGAAAGGCCGGGGGGAACCAAGCTTGATGGAACACTATTTTGTATCCAATCTTAGTGCTAACGTATAAGTGACAAAAAGCAGTTATGTATAGGTACCATGTACATTTAAAAATATGTGTATAGATTTATTAGGACTTAAAATGATGTAAACACTATCTTTGTTATATATTTTATCTGACCCTTACCTCTTCCCTCATGACCTCAATGAAAAGCGGCCTGCAGGCCATTTTGAGCTTCTCATGAATATGGAGGTTTAAACAAGTTGGTTGATGTATCAAGTTATAGCAAAAAAGGACGGTAAATTGACTAAATTCTCATTTCATATACACAATGATACAAGTACTATGTGTGTATGCAGACCATGAAAGGGTTTGAAATACCAACTGCAGGTAAAATATATTTTACAATATTTTTAAAAATAATATTCGATGTTACCTGCCCCAGTACAGGTACGGAGAAAAAAGTATTTTAAACCCCGGTATGTTTGTGAGGGGGTGTGTATGTGCATGTATGCGTAGTTTGATACTGTAAACATGCCAAATGTTTCTATATCCTGCAGGCACCGAAAGGTACAATAACCTTGCCGTAGCAGGCCTCTATTTTACGATACACAGAAATAAAGATTGTTAGTGAATGTCCCTTATCTCCTGTGCTTCAGGAAGGGACCATTTTCACTACCACAGTAAATATATAATGCAGAGAGATGTGGTTGGGAAGTAAATCACCAAAAATATGACTTATTTATAATCTTCCAAGCAGCCAGCTCCTATAAAGATTACTATCTTACATAATCATGATAATGGCTTGTGCTGTTGTTTTCTACTTTAGATACATGTACATGCAAGGACTTCTCACATGCTTCTCTTATGTAAAAATTTGTACAGGGAAAAAGTTATCTATTATTCAACTAACCCCTAATAAACCTTCTACCAGCCTTCCCTTACTCACCTCTGTCACTCATTCAAAACCTTTCCCAGACCACCAACCAAGGTTGGCTGAAGTTCGGGAGCAGTCTGACTAGATTTAGGCCCCACTTACCTTTCTATACGAATCGAATTGGAGTTATATTGGAGTCAAATTTGAGCCTCGAACAAGCCCAAATACTGCTGACTTACTCCAAAACACCAGACAACCGTGGCCGAACCTCACGTCCAAAACTGTTTTAAAACATTTTGAAACATTTGACTGGCATAGCCGAACACAAGCCAACCTTGCCAAACACTAGCTGACCCTGCTGCCAACCTACTCCTAACCATGGCTGGGGGGGAGTCAACAGTGTTTGGGAGGCCATATTCGGCTATGTGTGTATCCAATACCTATAACATGGCCAACTACTTTCAACAATATCTGCAAAGAGTAAATATGCACTGTAGAGTATATGGTACTTCAAGCATGCCCCTATCTCATTCCTAGTGTCCAATGTGTGATGTACACTAATACTAACCACACGTCGGTTATTACCTTATGGTGGCCTCGAACACCTGCACTGTGGTGTTTCGCTCAAACGACACGTTGTCCAGAACCAGCTGAACAGCATGCTTGAACTCGCTCGCATTCCCCATGATCTGTGGCAGTGTAGGGAGAACATTACAAGCACCAGTAAGACTTTACAGTGTAGGTACCATGAACTGAAAATATGTGCTGCAATAAACTCAAAGGCATCCAATACAAATTCAGGGTGGCAACACAAAAAAATATGCTGGATATGGAAATCTGTCTGATTTTGATAGTTACCCCCATTTCTTAACATATTTTGATCATCATTTCATACTTGAAGTGTTCGAAATACTAGGCCAAAAACAAGCTACGCTAGACCTCACTTATTTTTTGGTACTGCCAATAAATAACTAGAACCAGGCTACAATACGAAATAAGCAACCATTTTCTGTCATCACATTTTTGCCTCATACTCATAGATATGAGTATGCTATGGGTTAATTCAACTTACTACATTAAAACTAAAAGAATGACTAGAAAATTGCTCTGGGTGCCTTTATTATAAATTAACCCTTGACTCTCTAATCATGCTCATGAGTCGGGTTATCTGAACTTGACTTTAACCTTCAACTTGTGTCCTCTGATCAATCCGACCTGACAGTTCCTCAGAGATAGTTGTGATTAAGGACAGGTGTATGCTCCTTCTCCCTAGCTGCTACTTTAAGGCATTGCATTATCACATACCAGGGCAGGTCTGGGAGTACTTACCCAGGACTCACAAGTCACAAAATAACCCATGAAATGTGAATGCTGGGACACACCAATTTAATTTCTTGGATACATCCATACGTACAGCAGTTGTGTGCTGTAGTAGTATCAGCAGAGAGAAGTAAATAAAAAAAGAAGTTCAAGCAAAATTCCAAAGAATCCTGGATCGTGTGTTGATGGTATACAAAACCAAGGTGCAAAATGGAAACAAGAAATATTATGCATCCTGGTTGTCATTGCTTTGAACTTTTCAACCATTGAATCAAAAGCACTGCTCTCAGGTAAAGTCAAAAGTATGTCCTTTTGTCAAAAATTCCATTTTTTCAGGAGAGACCTTTGATGCTTTGGTTATGATTTTTATTTCTATGATAAACAATGAATTCAAATGTCATGCAGACCCTCCTTGAACTTTGCGGGACTGAGAATATTTCAATTATCAATTTGGAGTTGCATTGGCAATGAAGTTGTTCCAACATGACTCCTTGGCTTTTGTTCCAGGTTTGCATTTTGAACAAATTTGCTGTATACAAACAATTTAAAACCTTCTATAGTGTGAAAGCTTGTGATGTGCGAAATCTGAGTACTGTTAGCATATAGGATGTCAAGCAAACATATACATATACAGATACAGTTATCTTGAAAGCATGCTGATCAGGTTACTGTCAAAGTTGACCTCTCATGCAGCATTCCTCTACACCTAACAAGACAGGAAGAAGTTGGATAGTCATACAGGATTGGGGTCGTCAGGGGACACTCACTGCTAGTGTGTCCAGGGTGTCCACCAATGTCAGGGAGTAGTCACCCAGCACATCATTAATGTTGATATTAGCACTGCAACACAATAGAAAACAATTAACCGTTACATTTATATTATAAAGTATATCTTTGGTCCAAAACAATTCAAACTCAATCAGCAATTGACAAGTAACATAATTTGATCCAACTGGTGTAAAATGATCTAAATATTAGTACTGCAGCAGAAAATAAAACAATTACATTACTTAAATTTACAAAGTATATCTTTGGTCCAACACCACTCGAACTTGGCTAAATCATTTGGATTGACAAGTACATTGATCCAGCTGGTATAAAACGATCTAAAATACAATCCCTCTCCATATGGGACGGGTTGAAACCTGATAATGTACTGGGAATCGATACAAGGAACCTCCGTGCACGCCATGCGCTGTACAGGAGATACTATAAATCATAACCAGATTTGTCTTCGATCATGTTTCGTTCCGGCTGTCTTTGTCTCGCCATGAATAATGGATGAGAGTGTTGGCAAGGATTCTACACAACCAAGTTTTGTTGAACAAGAAGGGTCGTGTTGGGAGAGGTGTGGTCGGCACCGTTATGTAAATTATCGGAGCGTCTTTTTGAAGCAGTTCAGTGCCTGAGCTTTGAAAATAGAAATGGAAATAGAGCAGGAAGCTGCGAGTTCCTGCCGAAGTGCCCTGGGTTTCACTTGAGACTGGAATTCCAGGCGGGACACAAGCGAAGCCTCGTGGCATGTATGGCGGCACTGATAAATCACCGTCATCATTAGCATGCCATCGCTAGATCTTTCCATGCACATTCCCTTTAGCTCTTGTTTATAAAACAAAACTACCTCCCGATTCACGACCACGTGCATATTGGTGCATTTGAAGTGTTAATATGCATTTGAAAAAGCTGGGTTAAATTGCAAAAAAAAAGAGCGACTTTCCGGCAACAACCGGAGCATGCAGGCCCGAGCTCCCAGTCCCCCTACCAACCGCGATCTTCCCCGGGATGTATTTAATTGCCCCGGTCGATATATAACGCTACCTGCTGCCAGCTTGAAGGGCATGACCTGCCCTTGACGGCAGGGATTGCGACAGGCGTTTACAGAAAGCGGGAAAAACTCACGGGTTCTCCACATCTGGGCCCCTTCCACTGCAGGCGTGCGGGTTGAGCTCGTCTTTCGGGAAGGCGTATCTCATGTAGTTGTCGTACCCGAAGTAGAACATCTTGCGGGCCTCTTCGCGCATTTCCAGGCGTAGAGAGTCCGGAAAATGTCCAAATTTCTGCTCATTGTACACATCTTCGTCAGTTAGCAGGTCTCTCCAATCCAAAGCACTGACAGCGAGAGAAATGAAGCAAAGAAACCAGAGATACCAGTCCATGATTTTGAAAAACCCCAGACCCTCCAACCCCAGCCATGATTCTGTCCCATACCAGCTGGGGCGAACCACGCTTGTACTCTGCTGCGGTCATCAAAATAGTCCAGAAGGTCAAATCTATTCGCAAGTAACAGCTCGCAACAGAAAGAATATAAATAAATTTATGTGCTCAAATAAGGCTTTATAGAAGACAGAAATCAGACACACTAAGCTATAAGCTGCAAGTTGAACGGTGATGCGTACTGATATTATGCATGAGGAAGTAATGCCGGTGAAAGGTCAGAAAGAATTCAGTGGCTGGCGCCAAAGTTTGGAAG